CCCGCCTCGAATGGGTGGCCTACGAGGGGGGGGGGGGGGCAAAATTTAGCGCAAATTCGAAACATTTGACATTTTAGATAAAAATTTGTGAAAAAATACCTGAAAAAGCTCGATTTTTGTTAATATAGGAATATAATTTTTGTTAGACATAATCATGCGTTTCTGCAAATTAAATGTTATAAAAATAGAATAATTTACGCTATAAATGATTAGCAGGTGCTAGACATAAGTTAAAGGGTTGAAATTGACAAAAACAACGACAAAAGTAAGGATGAAAATTACAAGCAATCTAGGGTAGTCTAAAGTGTTGTAGTTTGTAGTTGTGTATTTTAGTAGTGTCTTTTGTATATCTTCGACATCAATGTATAGAATCTTTATTATTGAGCCGCTTTCTCTTTCTCTTTCTCATTGTCGGCTCCGTCACAACAGAACACAGGTGCTCGATTTTTGGGCGGGGACGGCCACCTGAGTGGTTAGCGTGGTGTTCCGGTCTTTTTCTATCAACGAACTCCGCGATTTCGACCTGAAATCGGCTGATGGAAGCACTATTCTATTTCCTCAGGAATTTCTGCTAAGCTTCCCGGTGATTTGAAGCGAGAGAAGAAAGAGAGTGAGAGTGACACGGAGCGAGAGAAAGAGAGACAGAGAGAGAGTGAGAAAGCGAGAGAGAGAGCGAGAGAGAAAGAGAGAAAGAGAGAAAAGGCAGAGAGAGCGGGAGTGAGAGCGGGAGGTATATTCAGAAGAGCGAGAGAGTGATAGAGAGAGAGAGAGAGAGAGAGAGAGAGAGAGAGAGAGCGAACGTGAGAGATTGAGACAGAGCGAGAAAGTGAGAGAAATTAAGATGGAGTTAATAAGTGGGAGGGAGAGCGAGAGAGAGACACATCGAGATAGAATGAGTGAGCGAGCGAGCGAGAGAGTGATCTCTTCAACTACCCACCTTTCCATCTTATCAAAGGTGGGCCTTGGGGGTACGGGTTTTGGTGTGGTTGCCCCATTGCCAGATGTCGGTATGGGAATGTTGGCCATCGAGTCCTTCTTCGACTCGCTCATATTGCCTAAAATGGTCATTTTCAAGGAGACGTAAATGCTCACTCCCGACACTGCTGATGGAGTGTGCGCGGGCGCTCCTCCGCCGTTCCTTGGCCAGATGAGGTCCGGCGGGGGTGTTGTGAAGGCAGAGAATTGGCAGCTGGGCACAGTTGGCCAGGTGGGCGATCAGGCGATTCGCGTCGAACGAGCGGATCAGGCTTCTAAAGTGGATTGGTGTTTGGTAATTCAGTCCTTCCGGGCCGCAACGCTTCTATTGTATGCCGGTCGCGGAGTGCAACGCGACCGCAACGCGTACCCATTCCTAACTCACTTGATTGGCCGATGTGCATCAAACGACGACAACAGCGTCCCCTTGTCGACGAACCAAGCCTCGATCCAGCCGGCTTCATCAGCTGAAAAAAATGACGCGTCGTCGATAGAAGACCGCTGACAAACCCGAAAAAGCGACCGACGCATCGGCGGTGACGGCCACTGCAGTGACTGGGCTACACGTCAGCACTGTGCGCATCGCATCACCCGTAATCACTGACCAAAAGATCACCTTATGGTCGCGAGCACCTGGAAATGGTGGGTTAGGCTGGGTCCAGGCTTAGACCTAGGGTTAGGCTTAATTTTAAGGCTTGGGTTTAGGTTTAAACTTAGGCTTAGGCTTAGGTTGAAGCTTAGGTTTAGGCTAACCGATTCAGATGCCCTTCCTTTCGTCTTTCTCTCTCTCTCTCTCTCTCTCTCTCTCTCTCTCTACTCTCTTTCGCTCTCGGGATCTCTCGCTCTATCGTTCGCTCTCTCACTTTTCCCTCACAACTCACCCGAAACGACAACGTGCTCATCGTCCGATATCGCACAACACGTCACAACGTCTTCATGACCAACGAGAACCTGAAGCAGTTCAAGGTAGGTTTTGTCGACTTTGCCGCCATCCTCAAACCTAGCTAAACCCGACCTGTGTCAAGAACCCGCAGTCAATCTGCCACAATTTCAGGGATTGATCGGTGCTCCCGGTGACGACCAACGTCCCCATCGGCGCCGCACAGAAGCATGTAACCTCTTCATTATGCGACAACCGATTCTTCAACGTCACCGAATTCTCGCCAAAGCTCCAGATTTTCATCCTGAACGAGTTGATCTGCTTTCAAAAGGCCACAGACTCTTTCTTCGTGCTCGGCACGCTGCCCAGCATCAATTTCCCGGATGGGGGCACGTAGATGGGTGGGATGATGCCGGTCGTGGACAGTTCTTCGCTTTCGCCTTCCTCGCCGAATACGTCCCACACCTGTTGATGAAGGGGTTTAAAGGGTTCCGGAAGTCAAAAATCCAGAAGTTTAGAGCAAAGCTTTCATCTCTCTCGCTTTCTCTGTCTCTCTCTCTTTCTCTCGCTCTCTCTTTCCCGTTGCTGCAAACGCGGCCGACCACTATCTGCACGGCAAACTAGCAGTGATGCTTTGAGGCAAAAATCATGATTACAGTAATCAATTTCCGTAAAACATCCACACTTGCCCCTAACCATTCCCTTAATCCCCTATGAAATTCCCTACCTTCAAATTTCCGGCCTTATCGCAGCTGACAGTCCTCCCACTCTCTAAGCAACACATCGTCACAACCTCCGTCGTATGGTACTAAACACATCCGTGTACAAATTACAACTTCTACGCCCTACGTAGCATGTACGCAGCACCATCCCGTGGCTCGAGTCGAGCACCACGATGTTGCCCTCCTAAATAGCGGGATAGAATTGGGAATACGGGACGATACATTATCGGCAGATAGTAGGCAAGAGGAATCGATGGTGAATGCGAGGGCTGAAATTGGGAGACTGCGATCTTGGACGGCTTGTACTTTTACCTGAAAATTTTGGGTTTAGGACTGTTAAAGTTTTTGGTGCTCTCTCTCCGTCTTTCTCTATAAATCTCTCCCTCTCTCTCCTCTCTCTCTCTCTCTCTCTCTCTCTCAGACCCACCGTAGTAATGCACTGGCAAATATCCATATCCCACAACGCCACAATGCCATTGTAGGTGCCGCAGGCCGAGATCTGGAAACGGCGTTTTTAAGAACGATTTTCTCCCTTTCTCTCGCTCTCCCGCTCTCGCTCTCTCACTCCCCCTCTCTCTAGCTCTGGATACCGATAAAGCCAACCTTTTCATCGCTGCTCATCGCAATGGCAGTCACGTATCCCTCTTTATCAGCCTGCCTCGAGTCGACCCCATCATGGATCCTTTCCCTCACATTCCACACCGATACGGCCACCCCGCATCCGGATACAAGGAAATAGTTGTCGGAGGTGATCTGAAACTGGGGTCTTCAAGGGACCTGGAAGTGTTTCAAATACTTTCTGCTAGCTTACTCGATGCCGCTAAAAAAGAACTTATGATCTCTCTCACTCCCTCTCTCTCTCATCTCGCTCTCTCTCTCACTCTATCTCTCTTTCTTACAGTCTGTCTGTCTCTGGCTCCCTAGATTTCTCTCTCTTCTCTCTCTCGCTTTCTCTTTCTCGCTCTATTCCGGTCTCTCACTCTCTCTATCTCTCTCTCTCCTTTGCTCGCTTCCTCCCCTTCCTCTTTGACCTTCCTCCTGCTCCCTAAGAATCTCAGCCAGTTCCCTCCCCTCCCATACCTTCAGTGACGTGACTGGCGACTTCTCCTCACAATCCAGCACATCCACGATGACCCCCGTATGCAGATCATAGCAATAAATCTTGGACTTGGTGGCCGCATACAGTTGACAGTCATCATTCGCGCATGCCAGCGCGTTCACCTGGAAAATGGGATTCCATAAGTAAATTATCGCCCCACCTTGCTCTCATGGCCGCTCAATTCGTGTAATTCTTGGCAACTGACAGTCCCGAATATTCGGAGTGTCTCATCCTCACAGGCCACCGCCACGAAGGCGTCGTTGCTGAAAGGCAGGATAGCCAGAGTTCTCTCGGTTTCTCACGCGCTCTCTCTCACTCACTCTCTCACTCTCTCAAACACTCGCTCTCTCACTACGACGATCTTTCTCACGACGATTATTTCGTGTCCGTTCTACCGTAACCCACCTAGTGATTGCGACACAAGTCACCGGCGCCATCAGCCCGCCCATCCGGTTCACCAACCGCCCGGAGTGCATATCCCATACTTGGACGACAAAGTCGCCCGAACCTAGAAGACGTGGTTGAGGAAGACCCAGATAAAGAAAGAGAGCGAGAGAAGGAGAGAGAGAGGGAGAGAGAGTGTGAGAGAGCGCGAAAGAGAGAGAGCGCAACAAATACACCATCTCCCCTCACCCGTAATAAGTAGCTGATCGTTGCTGGTCAACTGCAGCGAAACGACACTTCCCGTATGATCTCCGAAACTGCGCACCACTTCCCCGGTCTCGACGGATATCACCTATGACCAATTTGCCGTAATCCTTATATGCCACACCTTTGCCGAGCTATCAGCCGACCCGGTGATCAGCAGCTTATCGTCGCTGCTCAGTATCGAGCACATCACTTTTCCGGTGTGATGCTTCAACACCCGTATCGCATCACTCTGGAAAGCTACGGACTGGGAAAACTACCTTAGCTTACCGACTGAAAGCCCCACTGCCGGACGGTTTTATCGTGGGAGGTACTGACGAAAAATGTGCCGTCTCGACTCGTTGTTAAGGAGGTTACGGTAGCGGTATGGCCTGGAATTGACGGAATCGTCGATACTGTATGGTCGTATTAAGATATTACGTTATTACCGCCCTGCGACATACGAAAGTACGGAAGTTTGAGACTACGGTAGCTTAACGATACCTTTAAATGTGGTGGCCAATTCTTGAGAAGCGATATGATACATGCAGACGACGCCCGGTTGAGCCAAATTTCCCGTAATTAAGAGGTGCTGGTGGTTTTCGGTTGGGGTGACGATCGTCACGGCTGATTTCCATTCCTAAAGATGATAGAATATGAGCTTTGTCTCTCGCGCGCGCTCTCCCTCCTCCTCTCACCTTCAGCTTAAACGAGAGCACTTGTTTCATCTGTGGTGGTGGTATCCAGCAGGTCAGCGGGACGAGGAGTGGCTGCTTTGAATAGGTATCCACCCACGCCATCGCCTGCTCCACCATCGTATTCAGGAAGTGAGAGTTTTCGGCTGAAAACGAGAATTTTGGGCGTTATCTCTCTGTCGTTCTCTCTCTCTCTCTTCGCTCTCTCTCTCTCTCTCTCTCTATCTCTACAATAAACTTACCTCTGGTATACCGTAATCGTCCAATCACCTCTGCCGCCAATTGTTCGTTATCCCGTACCACCGTCTCCAAGGCGGGCAGCAGCACTTGCTCGCACAGCACCTACATTTGCGATTTAGAGAGAGGGAGAGAGAGAAAGAGAGAGAGAGATAATAACACACCTGAATATCGTGGTGTAACACCTGTAGTATGCAGGCCTCGTACATCGACAGCAAATGGGCCAGTCCACAGGAGCGTACCGTAGCGTCGAGGTAGTCGAATTGGCACAGGGCGAACTCTTTCAGCGCGTCCATGCTGCCTGAAAGGAAGCGAATCACTTTGTCTGCCTCTCTCTCCCACTGTCTCTCTCTCCCACTCTCTCTCTCTCTCTCCCACCTCCAGAATGCAGCAGATGGAGCCACAAATTGCGCACCTTGCGCACATTAATAGACCCGTTGTCGCGTTTGAGCAATTGGGGAAAGACTTGGTACTGGAGGGCAGCCCGCGGGCTGATCCCGTCCAGCTCTGTGAGCAGATCGGCAAACACGTCGGCCAGATCACCGTTTGCCGATTTTACGTCGGCTGGGGTTGAGAGGTATCTGGAAAACGTGCTTAGGCCTGGCTTAGGCTTAGGAATAGGCTTAGGCTTAGACCCCGGCTTACCCTAGGCTGAACTCTCCCCTTAAAAACGCACCGATTTCGCACAACATTCGCGATGCTCGTATGGCTGTAGCGGTACAAGAGACGCCCGTCGGCATATACAGTATGCAACAAGCCACCTTAAACGCATTAATGGTATCAAAAACTGAAAAACCCATACCTAAAGACTCGAGGATGCTGTCGAGTAGAAATGGGGGAAAGGCCACCGGGGAGCCGATCGTTTGGAGGAGGGCGCGGTTGGCCGAGAGGACGTCCGACAACTCCAAGCGGGTCAGCCCAGAAGGGGATGCGCCCAGGTATCGACAGAGGCAGGCGACCTGGAATTATCGATCACGGTAGGGTTAGGCTTAAGCTTATTCATCAGTAGTTCTGAACGTACCGGCGCCGCGCCGTGTTCACCTTCGATTCGCTCGATTCGACCCTCGATTCCGCCCTTCATCACCCCGTTGCCTCTCAATAAAATCTCCTCGACGAGCATGAGCCCCACCACCGGGTTCTTCTCACCGCCCGTCAGCTAGAAGGTTATAATTCGGTTCCCTGGTCGTGAATTGTACACTTACGTAGGGTTTGATGGATCCGATCTGCTCCGTGGAGAGTTTTCTTCCACGTTTTGCAAGTCGTCGTTTCACAATGTCGGCGATTTCACCTGGAAATTGGGTCGTAAGGCTCTCTTGCTCTCTATCGCTCTCTCTCGCCTTATCTCTCTACCCACCCTCTGTCGGCGGATCCAAATTTATCGTCTGCGCCGTTAGAAACACCGGCGTCAAGTTGGAGACGTTCGACGCGGTCATGAAGAGATAGAGGTTGTTTGGGGCCTAAAATCGCTTTAGCCAGGGAGCCGAAACTCATCCTCACATTCTTAGGCCTCCGTTCCAACCCAGAGAGCAGGCGCCCGAATTTCAGTAGATGCACATCGTCAAGGAATAGGTAGACGGGCCGGTCGAGTCGTTCGATCACCTCGTGGAGTTTAGTGACGATGTCGCCAAGGCTGGAGGTGTGGAAAGTTGGCCAACAGCATTGGAACCTACCGGAAATGGGAGAAGCAGGGCTTCGGGTCTTGGCCGGACATATGGCACACCAAGATCAGCACCAGACGCCAGAGTTCGTGAGCGAAAGAGGTGGCAGAAGTCAGGCCTGACGGGGTGATAGATAGGGCGGGAGAGATAGAGAGAGAGAGAGAGAGAGAGAGAGAGAGAGAGAGAGAAAGAGAGAGAGAGAGAGAGAGAGAGAGGAGAGAGAGGGAGAGAGAGAGCGCGCGCGAGAGCCCACCTGCAAACAGCACGATTCTGTACGACGGCCGATCATCGAGAAGCTCGTATAAATGAAGCAAACTGCGTGTCTTCCCACTCAACTCTGGCCCTTGTACGAGATACGCGCCGCCGGTACCCTGATAAAAGTGATGAGCATCTACAGCCTCAACCCACCTCTCTGACGCATTCGTCGAGTTTAGCGTCGACGCTTTTGCGTGATTGCCACTCTTGTTGGAGACGTTCACGCAGCAGACGCTCATGAGAGGCATTCTCGCGGAGGGCGATCGACACCAAGGAGGACGAGGGGAGACGGGCTGGGGCGAATCGGGTGATGCTTTGTTTCAAGCGCTCGAGGAGCTGGAAAGTGGGGCTGGGCTTGGGCTTAGTCTGAGGCTTAGGCTTAGCTTAGGCTTAGCTCAATCCTACGTTTAGACTTCGGCTTCGTTTTAGGCTTATTTTTGGGCTTAGCTTACTTTACACGTAGGCTTACAACTAGTTTCACACAAACCAGCTTCGACTCTATAGTCTTACCTGCCGTGAAAAATTGTCTCTATACTTCTCCGCCTCGCGCCCCGCATAGAAGTTCTTGACCTCGCCGCCCTCGGTGGGTAGGGTGAACGATAGACACTAGAAAATTGTAATTTTTCTGGGAATTTGGTGATACCGCGGTCGACTCGACTTCAGCCGCCAGGTCGTTTTTCAATCCCTGCACTTTCTTCAGCGATTCCTCGTCGATATCCACCCAGGGCTCGTTGTTTTTGTCTTGGATGGCGCCTGGAAAAGAGCTTAGAATCGCGCTTAGGCTTATGCTTAAGCCTAAACTTAGCCTTAGGCGTAGGGTTAAGCTGAAGCTCAGACTCAGCTTTAGGCTTGGCTTAGGCTTAGGCAAGAGCTTAAGTTCATGTTTAGGAGTGGTCCCCGATTAGGTTTAGGTTTAGCCCTATCACCATACTTACCATCAAACTTCCGCAGCACATAGCAAGCCCGGTGCTTTTCCATTTGGTTGGCTTGGTAGAGGACCGAGTGGAGGAAGGACCAGAAGAAGCGCTGCTGGCGGTGCGGGGCGATTTGGTTGATCGAACCCTCGTGGAAAGCCTGAAAAAGGATCAACATTCTCTCTCTCTCTCTCTCTCTCTCTCTCTCTCTCTCTCTCTCTCTCTGGCGCTCTCTCTCTTTCACTCACCACTTCTGCTCCTTTTTGCATGACGGCAAGCAGTTTTTTGGTGATCTAAAATTAACAATTTTGGAAATCGAGCCGGTTATACCTTTGGGTCATCAAAGTCGGCTTTCAATCGATAGACTTCTGGCTGGACGGTACGGTCGAGGAGGTAGTATTTCTCCAGGTATTTTACGTCTGAAAGAGGCACAGTTATTGACAATCTCTCCCTATCGCTGTCTCTCTCTCTCTTTCTCTATCTCTCGCTCTCTCGCTCTCTCGTTGTCCCCCTATGACCATCACCAAGTCCCATACCTTGATTATGCTCGAAAACGGCCTCCCGTATTGCGTCAAACTCCTCCTTGCGCAGCTCCAGCGGTAGCCCTCCCTCCCCATATTTATCACCAATTAACAACTGCAAAAAGAAGATTCCATGAACATTTAAACAATTCCGTACCACAACAATGGTGTTTGGGTCCTCGAGGGCGCGTAGAGTATTCCGGTGGACTTGGGCCGAGATCTGAAATAAGATTTGCCACTTAAAAATGAGCTTTTCTTCGCTTAAGGAGGCCATCAAGCCAGAAATTTTAGTATCATAAGTTAAGGAAGATTTTCAACAGTAAAAATACCGATCAGATCTTCTGAAAATATATTTACCTTTTGCGTATCAATTAAAGTATCAACGAGCTCGAGGTCGACCCCCGAGTGAAAGGCATAATTCTGGAGCTCGGGCAGAACTTCGTTCCACACGAGACGCCGTTCGAGGGGCCATTCTAAATGATGGATATTGGTGCATTAAGGATAGAAGAATGACAGAAAAGCGATAGAGCGAGTGAGAGAGAGCGAGAGACAGATGGAGCGAGAGAGAGAGAAAGTGAGAAAGTGAGAGAAATATCACCTACCATTATGTCCATTATAGACGACGACAACGCGACAGTGCAATGGCGGATCAGTGACTGGGTCTGAAGGGGGTTTCGGGCTCGATGTCCCCGGCGCCTCGCGGCTCCGTCCGTCCGTATTGTTCCGGAACATTTGTCTGAAATGGAGTATTCAGGACGGTCATATACAGCCGTTTTGGTTCTTAACGTAATTACTTAGCTAATGGGTTTCTAAATTATGAAGATAGCGCCTTTAAAAGCTGAAAATCGACCCCAGGAAGGTAATCCCAAAGTCACAGAAAATTACATGGCCAGCGCTTTCCGGGGGGAAACTCCCTACGGAGCACGTGGGAACGTCGAACTAGGCTGGACTTAGGAAGGTGCGGTATTCTACATATTCTTAGGATTCGGCTTAGCTTAGCCTTAGCTTTGGCATAGGCATCGGCTTAGGCTCGGGCTTAGGCTTAGAAAAGTCTAAATCACAAATACCCTTAAGACCGAAAAAAGCCCCCAAAAAGTGTCTACTGGAATCTGGTGGAACGGCGTCGACTTGTAGCTGCTGCGGCAGTTTCTTCGACCATATTATATTCTCTCACGCGGTAGGCGAGAGCGAGAGAGAGAGGGCACAATTTAGCAGCCACACCACAACTAGCAGGTGCCCATATAACAGTAGTGCGGACAGGAGGGCAGGGGGGAAGGCCCGAATTAGAGAAGGGAGGGCCCAAAGGCACAAGGGAAAGGGCCCAGGCCACCAGATCAATTTCAATTATCGGGCCAAGGGGGGACTCACACGCAGAATACAAATTGTTGCCGAAAAGAAGGGGGGCAGAAGCACAGGTAATAAGTGGCGCCTTTGGCCACACGGCCAGGGGGGGTCTTGGCCACACGGCTGCAAAACCGAATAATGGGGTGGCTGGAGAGGGGCTGGGGTGATATACTTGGGTGTGGAAAGTACAGATCGCAGGAAAGGCCAAAGTCACTTATGCCTAAATGCCGACAGCCATAATCCCGACAGGTCAAAATCCCGACAGCCCAGAATATCGACAGACCATAACATGGGACCCATAATCCCGACAGTTAGAACCACGACGGTTCGAAATCCCGACGGTCATAAGCCCGACAGTCATAATCCCGACAACCAGAATCGCAGCAGCGAAAATCCAAACAGTCAAAATACCGACAGTCATAATTCCGGTAGGAAAAATATCGACAGGGCAAAATCCCGACAGCCAAGAACACCGACAGAGCACAACCTGAAACCCATAATCCCGACACTTATAACCACGGTGAGCCAAAATCCCGACAATCAGAATGCCGACAGCCAGAATCGCAGCCGCGAAAATGCCGACACTCAGAATACCGACAGCCAAAATGCCGACAACGAGAATAACGACAGACCACAATCTCGACAGCTAAAAATCCCGACAAGCCGAACTAGGGGCTTAAAATAAAGCTAAATCCCAGCTAGAGTCAAAATGTAAAGTGTATTCGATGAATCGATAGCTTTTAAAGGAACGGGAAAGTTTTCTTTAGCCGGTAATCTCTCAAATAGATCAAAAACTAGTCAAATTCGGCTCAAAAAATAGATAGTACGTAATATGTGGCCGTCCGTTTCAGCTGCGTCTCCCCAATGGGGGCAAATAGCACCCAAAGGGACAAAGGTCCTCGGGAATTATTCGGGTAAAATGAAAGGCGCCCTCCTGATGCTCGGTAATCCCCCCCGAGCATCATATGCCTCAATGGACTGCCATGTATTCTACTCAAATAACTAAAAAAGCGACAAAAATAGGTAAAAGTGACTTTTTCGGAAATTTACAGGAATTTTCCTGTAACCATCTTCCATTCGCTCTCTCTTTCTCTCTCTCTTTCTCTCTCTCTCTCTCTCTCGCTCTCTCTCGTTCTCTCTATCGATCTCTTGCTCTTGCTTTCTTTCACTCTGTCCCTCTCTCATACGCTGTTTCTCTAACTCTTTCTCTCTGATAATATGTCTCTCTCTTTCTCTCTCTGCCTCTCTCTCTCATATGCTGTCTCTCTCGCTCTCATTTCTTTCACCCTCTTTAACCATCCCTCTCATTCCATCTCTTTATCTCCAAAAATCCCTTGGAAAAAAATAACAAGTTTGGCCTCCCGGTCCCTTTAAAACGATTCGGCAACTTTTTAACTCGTACAATATTTATTGACTGACCTACCGTATCAATTGCTGCTGCTGTGTGCTATAGCTGTCCGATTGTCATGACGACCCACCGGCCTTCCCTCTTCCCCTTGCCGCTATCAAAACAAATTTTTTCGAAAAATTCGGCCCAGCTGCAGCGTGGAACACGACGGGAAGGAACCTGTAATTTGGAATTGAGCGGAATCTGGGGGGAAGGGAATTTGAGCGAAAAAGAGCAGGATTCTTTAAAAATGCAAAGGATTTGAGAGCCGCTCTGCAATCGCAGGGCAGTCTAGCATTGGTTGTTCAGGAATGGGAGCGAGCGAGAGAGGGAGAGGGAGAGAGAGCGAGAAACAGAAAGTGTGAAAAAGAGAAAGATAAATAGCGAGAGAGAGAGAGAGAGAGAGAGAGAGAGAGAGAGAGAGAATAATTCCGCAGAGCCGGCCGAACAATTTTCAAGTCTAGATTTGCCAAATTTCTATCAAACTGTACAATAAATATTGTTATTACTCCAGAATCATCCTGGCCTCCATGAAATCGACTAATATAGCTCCTCCTCCTACGCCTCCACGCGAACTCGTCAGAAACAGGCGCCATGGCGGGGGGAGCGCGGCATGGATGGGCAATTTTATGAAGCGGGCAGGAGGAGGAGGACATTCCAGTAAACCCAGAGCGAGGGTGGGCCCTAGTGGCTATCGGCAAATGACAGACGGCCCCCAACAAAATGGCCCCATATGCCTCATAATTCCGCAGAAGATCTCTGCTGGTATGCCATCAATACGACAACGGCCAGGCACAAGAAAAACCCGGGAAAATAATTGCGCAAAAAATTAATTCGAAAGCGAGGTCCCTGGGTCGGGCGCGGGGGGGGGGGGCTTTTTCTGGAATGTAGGACTCTGGGGGGGTTAATTACTGGGTTGGCAACCTTTTGGGGATACCCGGAATCGGATAGGGATATTGGGTTATTAAAGGCATGGGAAAGTCAAAAGTATAGACGAAGCAAGGGCAGGCTAGCAGAGTTTCTTTGGGAATTGGCTCACGGCAGCCTAACAGAGAATTTTTCAGTCATTGGAGGAGTAGGCTAGCAGAGATTCATTGAGGAAATGGAGGGTACGTTAGCAGAGCTACTTTAGGAATCGATGAAAGCAGAGCAAGATGAAAGTGCAAAAACACATTCTAAACGTCGATACCGAATTGAATAACCGAGTGTATATGGAGGTAGAAAGGGGTATTTGTTATGCCCGTCTTCCCCTTTATTTCCTGTTCCCCTCCAATTTGGCGCTTAAATAGATCGCAGTGAATCGGGGGATAATTTCCGAACGTAATCCTTCCCCGGCCTCTACTATTAATGCTATAATTACCGTATGGATTTAGGCATTTTTGGAAAGCGCGAGAAAGAGAGGGAGAGAGAGAAAGAGGGAGAGAGCGAGAGAGAGACGCATAGAGACGCAACTAGCCGTGATCATTGATAAAACTCGGAGTAGTGATCCTTTAGGGATAGAGTGCAAGAGAAGCAAGAGGTATGTGGAGAAACGGACACAGTGAGACAGAGGAGAGAGAGAGAGAGAGAGAGAGAGAGAGAGAGAGTGAATAAGGAGAGATAAAGCCCGCGAGAGAGCGCAAGAGAGAGCTGAGCTGAGCATGAGCTGAACAAGTGCAAGTTATTGACTGGGCTATGCCAAAACAAGCTGGTTATTAGAGACCAGCGCCCAAAACCCGCTTCGCGGGCCTTGGGCGCTGGAATACGGTTTTTGCATGATAAATTTGACTTTCCGATCACTCAGGTCCTTCGGACCCCTCCACTCTGCCTACCACACTTGCGAGTGCAACTGGCAAGAATGAGGAAATTTGTATTTTTCGCAATATGCAAATTAGCCCCTCAGGGACCCCAAAAATGAATAAAACCGGCCTTAACTTTGTAAACTTGTATTTTATCGAAATTCTGAGAACGCGATCGGAAACAGAAGGGTCGATTCCCCCGGGTAACGCAGAATTAGGGGCATTTTATGCACAGGAAGGCCCTCAAATCGGGCCTCGAAAGTGACATCCACACACACACACACACGCATACGCGCCAAAATTATATAAGGTAGGATCATTCGCAAAACGGACGGCGTTAAACCAACGAAAAAAACAGTACATTCCGACACTGTACAGCAGCCTCCATTTCAAAGGTCTCAGCTGTGTTTTTATCGTGTCTATGATCTATATAAGATGGGCCCTCTGCTTCCTCCCTTCTTTCTTTCTATGGGGTCACAGGCCCCTCCTCCGCTAACAATGCCCAATTTGGATGTCCACAAGACCCTTTTGCTCTCCTCTCTTTCGTCTTACATGCCAATTCACCCCCTGGCTGCGTCTCGTAAAATGACGCCTTTCGGAGGAAGGGGGATGGAGGAATATTTCGGAAGAACAAGAGGAATATTGGTTAAAGGGTTGGTTCGAGAGAGGAATTCCTAAGAAATCACTGCTCGACGGCCATGGGCAACAATAAGGAAACAATCAGATTAAAAATAGATATAGATTGCCTCATGGGCTCTCTTTCTC